TTTAATTTTTCGTTATCATTTGTTTGTATTAATTAATTAACATAATATATTATTAGAGATTTGTTTGAATTATAGCATGAAATATTGTAATTGATTAATTTTTTAAAATGCATTTTTTTGATCATTTTACATGTTTATCAGCTAGTTTTGTCAAACATGATTTGTTCATCAGCTACCGATTAGCTTATTAGTTTGTTCAGTAACGTAAGGAGGGACCACTATCAATTGAATAAGCGTCTCAAAGAGAATGAGATCTAACGTCCCATCAAGAAACAACGAATTAACCGCAAATGCATCTTTCTTTTATCAAATGATTCAAATCTTAGGGACATGGTCTAATCATGAGTGTAGTATTTTACCATGGTGTCGGATCCTAAGTTTTTATGAATTCCTTCTTTGTCACCGGGGTCGACCGCAAAGCCATAAGCCTATTAAGGGGTTGTTTGACAATTGCTGAATGGTTTGTTGCAGAATGATTAAGAAGCTCTCATGATATAGTGCAAAATGATATATAATTGTTTGGTAATTGTGTACAATGAAATTAGGGCTCTTAATGGTTAAGGTAGATCTATGATACAAAATTATTCAGAGGGTTTTAGAACCATTAAGAGATAGACTTTTTTTTGCCAAACAAGATTCACCTCTTAACGATTCAGAGGTTGCCTCTTAATGGAACTATTAAAAAGTAAACAAACAACCCATAACATTTACGTTCTCAACCGCATCAGATACGACATTTTACTTTCATTATCAATTATTTGATTATCTATTATATATATAATTTATTTTTAAATTGATTAAAAATACGATATTTAATGGGTTTTTTACAAAACAAAGACTAATCATCCCAAATATTATGTATATAATCCAGGTGTTATACTTACATATAATATCATATGGTAAAACCAAATTAAAACAAAAAAGGAAATATAATATCATATGGTAAAAATAAATAAAATTTGAAATGGGAAAAACAAGTCTCAAGCCAGCCGCTCTAGAGCCAGCTGAAGCCAGCCAATCCCAATATCAAGCCGCCGACCACCATTTGTGCGATCTTCAATTTCTCTGCTCCACTCTGCACAATTTAGGGTTTCATCATACATCAATTTCCACAATCGTAACAAATCAATCATTGAATCAGAAAATGAATATATGAATATTTTACACCGTAATCGGAACTGGTCAGATCTAGACAAAATCAACACAGATTGAATCGGAATTAATGCCTTAAGGTTAAGAAATTACCTCGTCTGCGACGGCAGCAGACGGACCGGGAGAAGGAGAATCGGTGCTCGTTACAGGAGCTTCGCTAGGAGCAGCTGCTCCTGGTGCCGGTGCTGGTGCATTTTGCTTCTTTTCTTTAGTTCTGTTCTTGCTAGGTGCTGGAGCCAGAGGGGATGAGATCGGTGAACTAACCGGTTCAGGAACAGGTGGAGATTGAACCGATGTGGTTGGAGAACTCACCGGCTCTGCAGCCGGAGGCGAGGTCACCGGTGTCTTAGCAGGAGGAGCCGATAACGCAGGAGCAGGAACAGCGGCGGTGGGAGGAGCTGTATCAGGGCTCTTTGCCGGAGCTGTGGTAGGTGCTGATGTCGGTGCTTTCGGTGCGTCAGCATTAGAAGGTGAAGCAGCAGGAGCGGTGACAGTAGGCAATGGAGTTTTTGTCGGAGACGCGGCCGGAGCTTGACCTCCAACTGAAGCGACAATGATGCCGATGAACACTAGAACAAGAGCGTTCTTCCGATCCATGGCGGTGGAGAGAGAGAGAGAGAGAGAGAGAGAGAGAGAATTGGAAAATGGATTGAAAGAAGAAGCTGGCGATTACAGATATAAGTAGCCGTTGAGGAAAATTCTATTTTGTTTTAATTAATTTTTTATTTTTTAAAAGGAAAGTGGTATTAATTTTTTTTACAAAAATCACCCCTGAGGTTTATGAAAACTCTTATTTGTGTCCCTAACTTTTCAAAGTTACATAGAACGTTATCAGGATCTCGGTTTCACTATGAAAATCGTTTTTGACCGTTAGGATCGTTAAGTTTGATATGTTATATGTGAAAGTCACATGATGGAAATTTAGTAAATTTCTATGTTTTTGGTAAAATAAAAAATAATGTACAAGTTATAAAATGGTTGGCCTAAGCAAATACAGCATGTACAAAAGAGCTCATCCGGCCATGCTGGCACCAATCTACCAACGTGTGACTCCATCTCCATCCGGCCATGCTGACACCAAAAACACTTCCCCACGTGATCTCCAAAAGCCGGTCAACTTCATATTATTCTCTAACGATTGTGTTTAATTCAACAGACAACACATATATACATATCAACTGTGTTCGATTCACACATGAACACACATGTGTTTGATTTACATACATAAACACATGGCCATTTATCGACTGTTGAATTGAGGGACGGACATCAAGGAGGTTTTCATGGGGGTAGCAAAGGATGAGAGATATTTGTGAGTAGCATGTGAGGGCACTTAACGACACCTTTTAATCAGGGGCGGATACACTTGTGTTGCAGGTGGGGAGTAGCAAAAAGTGAGAGATGGTTGTGAGTAGCACGTCAGGGCACTTAACGGCACCTTCTAGTTAGGGGCAGATATACTTGCTTAGGGGTGGGGAAAAGCCCCTAGGAAAACCAAACTTTAAAGAAAACTCTAAGAACTCACCTTTGTATTTTCTCTTTATTTATCTCATGCCCCCATCTTGTTGGCCTTGTGCCGCCAGCTACCCTGTCTTCGACGATCAATGAACTCATAGACAAGTAAATTGAATAAAATAATGGTATATTGTGCAATTCGACTTAACCAAATTAGTAATCAGCTTACCAAATAAAAGAGTTGTTTAACTTGAAAATTGAATAACCAAAAATCGTTTCAGTTTGGATGGGTTATTGGATTTTGGAAAATTTTCACCCTTGGATGTGCCCCTATCCACCAATCGTTTTGGACCCGCCATTGCTTCTGATGAAACCCATAATAAAATCGAAATCTTGATGACATTACTGATAATTTCAAAATGTTATGGAAGAAAACATGAGTTTCACAAACTTCAAGGATAACTTTTGTGATTTACTGCTGATCATTAGGACTATTTAGGTCATTGACCTTGAATGAGATTTTTATTAACAATATAACCTTGTGACAAGTTTTATGACATTATGGTGTATTAAAGCGATATTTTAATGTATAAAAGTAACATGTTAAAACCTATTATAAGACTGAGGATTTGATTTTTTTTTTTTGAAGAAGATTATTTAACCGACAAAACCTTATTATTATTTCATTTAATTTTATTACTAAAAAAATGATTACTAAAATTTAGATAAATTATGTATGCATTTTGCAATTTTGGTTTTTATATAATTTAATATGGGTGTGATGTCATAAACATATGTGTGTTATAATCAGATTAAATTATATATTAAAAGTAATTTTAATATTAATATCAATATATAAAAAAAATTAGTAGATAAAAATATATTTTTCCTTATGTGGGACCCAATACCCATTTGGACAGAAATAGACCAAAGCTTAAGGTCATTTGATACAGCTGGCATGTTATGGTGACGATATATCCACCGTCAATAAGAGGAAACGTAAACCAAATAACCGTTGCTGGATAAAGAAGGTAGTGTTAATATAAATTTCTAAAGACCTTCAGGTTTACATCACTTGGCAATTATAACCCTAACTTTTTAACTATTACATTTTCATCCCCAAATTTTGCCTTGGTAATTTGTAGATTGTACACTATTCACGTACCTTTTTATAGGGGTGATATTTACAAATTATGTAAGTATAAGGGGTGGTTGTAATTTAAGTTTAGCCGAGGGGTGGTAATTGTTACAATGCAGCAGTTCCACCATATGGGTGGGACCAGGCGGTGGCAAGCGGTGGCGGTGATTGTTTTGTCTTGTAATAAAATTAAGGAATAAGCAAACGCGTAAGCATAGAATAAATGCACCAAAATAATTCATTAAAAAAAGAATAATATTACCATAACCGTAATAAACAAGTGATTTTATTTGTTTATAGAAATAAATTATTTTGCAAATCCATCATGTGATATTTATAGTCATAAAATTATGGGAAATCAAAATAACCCAATTTCAAACGAATTTATTTTTTTGTCGTTTTTGGAATAAAATTCTAATTTTAATTAAAACGTATTTATATAAAACCTATTTTTAGATTAAAAAAAGTAAAAAAAGATTTGTAAGTAAATTATTTATGCAAATAAGGATCCTTCTGCAAATTATACAAATTTACCAAAAGATTCTTTTTTTTTTTAATCTGATATTAGGTTTTATCCAAATACGTAAATTATATGTGTAAATTTTGGCTAAAATGAGAATTTAAATGAAAAATAGCTAAAAAGTGAATTTTGTTAAAAAAATTAATTGTTTTGGTTAGTTTTCCTAAAAATATGTGAACATGAAAATTATGTTCAGGAATTTAGTTTATAAAGATTGGTAGACATCATAGTTTTGAAACGGAGAAAGGTTAAAAAAAACACAACAAACTCATATTTTAAGTGTTTACTGGATAAATTTTCTCATCAGATGAACATGAGAAGGGTTAAGAATCTTACCGGGTAAGAGCGATGAGAATCTTACCCGGTAAGTGAGAATAACGACTCTTACCCAGGTAAGTGTTTACCGAGTAAATTGTTGCATTCGATATGTTTTTGATATACTAAAATCTTACGCATCAAAATAAATCATAGTGTTGACTCCTATTGGTAAACGTTTACTGGGTAAGCAATTGGGTAAATGGCTCCTTCATGACCTTTTTTTTTTTAGATAAATAAATCTTTGAACATTTTGAAATTGAACAAATAAATCATTGAACTTTTTTAAACCGAAAAAACGCAATGAACTTCAACATTTTGAATAATTAAGTTCGTAAACATTTTCTTGAACCAAATTCTTACACTTATAAAACAAAAGTAATATGTCAGTTATCAATCGATGTGTCTTGATCAATAACAAAGTAGAATACATCAACAATAGTAACTAATTATTTTTCAGTTTAGGGATTTAATTAATTAAAATATAAAACTTCGTTGTATTTCTTTTAACTTTTACTTTTTAAAATAGTGTAAATAAACGTATTAAATCGATGTATTTTTTAATTAACAACTAATTAATCGATATATATCTATACTATATTATAAAGCATTTGACAAAAACCACTTTTTATGCATAAAGTACTGTTTATTAATGTATGTTACTTAAAAATCAAGATTACAAGTAGATTGTGCATAAATACAACTTATTAAAACTCAATATAGGAATTCGTGTAAATAACTACAGATAAACATAATCAAATACATGATAACATCTCATTTTAAATATAAAAAATCTAAAATATAATTAGGATAATTATTAAGTTTTAACAGAATACTTAATTATTATCTTTATAAAATGTTATATTATTAAATCTAAAATAAATTACTTCGTTACTAAACTTAAATTAAATTATAATTAAAAAAATAAATTAAAGAAATTACATAAAAACGAGAACTTTTAAATAGTTGATTTAATATTAACATTGATATATTTTTTTTCTTCAAGTTTTTATGATATCTTCAAATTTATATTTTATTCAAAAATAAAATCATTATTGGTTTCTTAAAAACACATAAAATCGTATTATAACATCGATATAGACAAAAAATAAAATAGAACATTAAAATCGAGATGTATTTCGCTGCATTGCGCGAATATACTTCTAGTTTATATAAAGAGAATAATCAAAAGATTATGTGACATCTTAAAAGAGTTAGAACTATTAGTTGTTATTCTTTTCAAAATTTCAATTATTTATTACTACATAAACTAAAACAAACAATTAACTGAAAAAAGGGCTATTGGGCTTTTGCTAAAACCAACAGCTCAAACTGTAGTCCAACTGTCCAAGTTACGGCAGCCCAAAACGGCCCAATATTAAACGATCTATGACTTTGAGGATTAATTTTGTATGTCTTAGGGGCTGTTTAATATTTTATCCGTCTTATAATAAATATTCATCATAAAAATGATACATAAAAGTCGTTTACCAAATGCTTACGTAACCAACCTCACTTAACTTATGGGGTAACATTATTTGCCATCAAAACGGATTGATGGTAAGAGTCATCGCAATCACTTACCGTATAAGATTATTGGTCTTTGTTATGTCCATTTAATAAGGTAATTGAATATGTAAGCGTTTACCAATGTAAACATTTAGTAAACGACTCAATGGTTGTAAGAATATGTAACTATTGCACTTTTTAATCAAGTAAATAACACTTTATAGAGAGAACAATTTTCTCCATCTCATAATTAGGGTTAAATAAGAATGTAGAAACTTATTTTTGAAAGTGGACACTTATTTTGGGACGGTGGGAGCATATATTTACGTGAGTAAGCGTTCATTGACAACACTCACTATTGTCACTTATCTTATTGGATAACTTTTTCGATCATCAAAATAGATTGTTGGTAAACGTTTCTTAACTAGTAAAGTGAGCACTTACTGCTTAAGAGTCTTCTCCCTTGAATTAAGTTTTAGTAAATTACTATTACACCCTTGAATTATGAGGTTTATGTAATTACAAATCTAGGTATTAAATTTCAGAAAGGACTCAAATGTCATAAAATGAAATTAGTGTTGGTTTTTTCTCGCTTTGGTTATTTTCGGATAGAATTTATTTATGGAACTAACAAAACAAACGCAAATATCAGTTACAATC